AAAATGTATTGGGGGCGGCAGGTGGTGTGGTGGTTAAGGATGCTGGACTCCCATATGGCTGACCATGATTCATGTCTGGACCTGGCAGCTTGCTTTCTCACTTTCCTTCTCTCTTTCTCTTGCTCTGTCCCTCTCTGTCAAATTAAAATAAATAAATAAAGATAAATAAAATAAGTCTTTAAAAACAAAAAAGAGGTTTTTTAAAAAAATAATTATTTTAAACAAAGTGAAATAAATAATAATAATAATATTTTATTTAATTTTATTTATTTTTATTTATTTATGAATGCAGGCTACCAGGTCTGGGACTCACACCAGTCAGCCGTGTGGGAGTTCAACACCTTAACCACCATCCCACCCACTGGTCCCATTATTCTTATAGCTCACTCAGTCCCAGAGATTTCTGTATTAGCAACACAATGTATTAAAACAGTGCCTCTGGGACTAGCAGGTGGCATGGTGGTTAAGGCTCTGGATACTCCCACATGGCTGACCACAGTTCAAGTCCTAGACCTGGTGGCTTGCTTTCTCACTTTCTCTCCCTCATCAAATTGAATAAATAAATTAAATAAAAAAAAAAAAAACACCTCTAGCTGCAAAACAGGTGCAATGTTTACCTCGACACACAGGAAGAACACATACAGCACTCAGTAAATACTCCGGAAATGTTCATTATTACCTCTAAGGTCACTCAAGGAGTTTGTTATCACTCTTTGTAGGCTCAAGACTGCCTGGGGCGTTTTCTGTCATGAGGCTGGCGGTGGACCCAGAACCCACCCATATACCCTGCAATGATCCTGCCCTGGGGTTTCCTCACCGAGTCCTCCGCGCCAGACTTCTCATCCCCAGCAGTGTCCTGCTCGAACACCTGGCGGGGGAGGCCTTTCTGCCGCTCTCGCAGGGTCTCAGTGGTGATGGGGCTGTAGGCTGAGCTCAGATGCTGGTACCTGCAGGAGGTGGGCTTGAATAGGTAGCAGAGATCTCCAGGGCCCCCTGGGACACTCTGATATACCTGCCTGGGGACATGGGAGGCCTGAAGGCCGTCCACTCCCCTAGCATCCTTCCAGAGAAGTTGGGTTGCCCTGGCAGAGGATGGTGGGCAGATAAACAGAATGGCCTCAGATAACACCTCAGCTCTGCTGGGCTCAGACCCAGCCTCTTCCAAGACTTTTTTTTTTTTTTTTTTTTTTTGCTAGGAAGTGTGGATACTCACCAGAGAAAGAAAGAGAGAAAGAGAGGGAAGAGGAAAAAGAAACCACCCCCGGGGGAAATAGCCATGACACAATCCCTTCTCCATCTCTCCCACCTTTCGGGATTTGGGGCACGTATGCACATGCACCGGCATGCTTTCTAAGTCACCAGGTCCAAGACCCAACTGTGCAGTTGCTCACTAACCACCAGGGCACAGGTTGGCCCTTGGCTATTTTGGGTTGTTTTGTTTTGTTTTGTTAAGGCTTTTGCCATAAGGCACATGATCACCAGAGAAATGCAGAGAGAAGAAAAGTGAGAAATCACCCCCTAGTGGGGATGGCCACCCTACAATTCCTTCTCCTCCTCGGATTTTGGGCATGCACACACACACACACACACACACACACACACGTCTGGCGTGATTTTCTTTTTAAATTTTTTTGAATTATTTCATCTAATCAATTCTTCTTCAATTTGACCAAAGAGAGACAGAGAGAGGGAGAGAGGGAGAATAAGAAAGCAAGCCACCAGGTCTGGGACTCGAATTGGCCACATGGGAGTCCAGCGTCTCAACTACCACTCCACCCGGTGGACCCATGGAGTGATATTCATGATGCCAGGTCTAGGACTTGAACCACGGCTGGCCATGTGGGAGTCCAGAGACATAACCACTATACCACCTGCTGGCCCCAGGCTTGTTTTCTTTTTTTTTTTAATTTAATTCTATGTTATTATTTTTTAGTTTGACCAGACAGAGAGAGAGAGAGAAAGGGAAAGCGAGAAAGCTGCCAGGTTCTGGACTCGAACTGCGGTCAGCCGTGTGAGAACCTAACACCTTTAGCCACCACGCCACCTGCCGGCCCCTTGTTTTCTTTAAGCCCACCTATTCATCTGTTCCATGAGTGAGAAAGCCAAGGGAGAGACAGGCAGCACCCTGAACAGTGTCCACAATCCACCCCCAGATTCCGCCACTCACGGATCACGGCACGCGCTTATCCTCGGTGTTCAGGGAGGTCTCTGGATACGAACCCAGAACCCTCCCACATGCGCCAGCCTCCCAGAGCACTGTGATCTACGGCTGCGCCATCATCCAGCCCCCAGACCCAGCCTCCTGACCCTCCCAAGGGAGACCCACCTTCGGTGGACGATCACCCAGTCTTCTGTGTACATCTCCAGCGCGGCCCGCACCTGGGCATCCAATTTTCTGCAGCAAAATAAAATTAGTGAGACCGGCAGGTGGCGTGGTGATTAAGGGCACTGGACTCGCACATGGCTGGCCGCGGTTCGAGTCCCGGACCTGGCGGCTTGCTTTCTCACTTTCCCTTCCTGTCACTCTCTAGCCAAATTAAAATGAACAATAATAATAATGATAATAATAACCAATGGAATTAAATAAATAATTCTTTTTAAATAAATAAATAAAATTAGGGTACACAGGCCCCGATGGTCAGGCCCCTATGGCTGGGAGGTTGGGACTGTCCTTCTGCCCCTTTCTGAGATACAGGCTCAGAGAGGGAGGACGACTTGTCTCAGGTCACACAGCCAAGCTGGAGGCTGAACTTGGGGCCATCGGGATCTGGAGTGTGCTGAGAAAAGGGGTGCGTATGGTGGTCGCAGAAGCCGAGTAGAGTCCCGGGCGGGCAGGGAGGAGGTGGTGCCGGACCCACCCATCTTCGGGGATCCCCGACTCTGTGGTCCGGCATTCCCGGGGCTGTAGCAGCAGCTCCAAATCGTCTGCTGGGAACTCGACCAGATCCCTGAGGGGCCCGGGCTCGGCGTCTGGGGGGCGGCTCTGAAGCACATCCTCGAAGTCCAGGGGCTCGATGACTTCAGTCAGGGGGACCTGGGGGGTGAAGGGTAAAGGGGCTGTGACCCCGACGCCCTGGAGGCCGGGGATCCCAGGCGCAAGGTGGGGAAGTGCTGGCTTTGGGTGTGAACAGGACAGTGGGAGCCATGGCGGGGGCGGGAGCTATGGAGGCGCCTTGGAGAACAGGGCCCTCAGACCCTCCTCCCCCCAGCCCTGCCCCTCTCTCCAGGGATGCAGGAAGGAAACCAAGCCCCCGCTGGGCTGTGCGCCTGGAGGGGCAGGAGCCAATGGGGGAAGGAAAGGCGTGTGGACTTGGCCAGGAGAGACAATTCCTAGGGCTCCCACCCTCCCGCTGCTGCAGGAAGTCGCCCATCCCCCCAGCATCCCCGGCCTCTCTCCCCAGCTGGGTGGTCCAGACAGCAGGAGGGAGGTGGGGCTTCCCTAGACCACCCGCAGGGCTCAGGGCTCATCTCAGCTGCTGCAGGGAGGGCGGAGGGCGGTACACTCTCCCCTCCAGCTGTATGGTCCCCCACAAGCAGGGGCAGCACTGGGGCCAGGACCTATGCCACAGGGAGGGGGTGGCACCCATCCGGGCAGGGTCCTGGGGTACCCCTTAAATACTTACCCCCAGATTGCTGCTACAGCGCCTGCTGGAGCTGGGGGAACCACTGCGTTCCCGGGACACCTGCTTCCGAACCTCTGCGGCCACCGTCCTGTGGGGACAGGAAGACTCAGTCAGGGGACCTTAAAAACCCAGGCTTCAAGAATAGCACATTCCTTTTCTTTTTTAAAAAATGATTTATTTATTTATTATAATCATTATTATTTTTTTTTCTTTTTTTGGAGAGGTTTTTGCTATAGGGCGCATGTGCTCTCCAGAAAGACAGAGACAGACAGAGACAGAAAGCGATAAATCACCCCCCAGGGGGGACGGTCACGCCGCAATCCCTTCTCCTCCATTCTCCTCTCGGGATCTTGGGCAC